ACCTAGTGCTTGTTTGCTGGGCTCTATTGTGATTTGGGGGTCTTGTATTTGAACCCTGGACTTGGTTAAGGGACCCGGAGAAGTTACCCCCCCCCCCTCCCCGCCTTTCTTCTCTAAAACCATTGTTGTCAAAGTCAGCCTGTGGGGTGGCACTAAGAAGACTGGCTGTGACCATCTCCCATGATCCTTAGGGCCCCTGGGTGAAGGTGATAGTTGGGACACCACTCCAGCCGGTGTGGCTTCTGGTGCACAAGTTGGGAAGGGGAGTCAGGCCATATTTCTTAGACCAATAGATCTGTCCAAGAGACCGAGGACTAAAACCAATTATTTCAGGGTCTGGGTGCTTTGCTGTCACTGGGCTTTCTTGCTTAAGGCTGGTGCTTTCCCACTTTGAGCCACAGCTCCACTTCCAGCTTTTTGGTATTTAATTGAAGATGAGTCTCATGAACTTTCTTAACCATGCTCTTCAGATGTCAGCCTCCTGAGTAGGATTACAGGAGTGAGCCACTGATACCCAGCCAGATTACTTTATTAAATGAAGCGTTCTCTCTCTCTCTCTGCTGACACTGGAGCTTGAACTTAGGGCTTTTAGTTCTCGCTTGGCTTTTTCAAGATTGGTGCACCATCACTTAAGCCATACCTTAAGGCCTCTACCTTTTTGATAGTTGGAGGTAAGAGTCTCATGTTTTAGTTTTAGTTTAGTTTAGTTTTGTTTTCTTTCTTCTGGGCTGGCTTTGAATCAGGATCCTCAGATGTCAGTCTCCTGAGTAGCTAGGATTACAGGCATGAGTTACTAAGACCTGGTTCTTAATGAAGTTAGAAAAAAATTACCAGATATGGGGTTGGGAATGTGGCTTAGTGTTAGAAGGCTTGCCTAGTATGCATGAAGCCCTGGGTTCAATTCCTCAGTATCACATAAACAGAAAAAGCTAGGAGTAGTGCTGTGACTCAAGGTGGTAGAATGCTAGCCTTGAGCAAAAGAAGCTCAGGGATCGTACCTAGGCACTGAGTTTAACCGTACAAGGGTGTTTCATTGTGATATTTCCATACCTGCATACTAAGTACCCCATCAACCTCATCCCCTGTTTTTTTCCCCCTTAAGACAATTTCAGCAGGTTTCATTGTTCTATTTTCACCCATGGAGTAAAGTAATTGGATCATACGCACCTTCACTCATACCTGCTAACCTCTTCCACTGAAACCCACTTCCCCAACAGTCTGTTCGGGACTTGAACTAAGTATCTGAGGCTTTTGTTCATTGGCTGGTGCTCTACCACTTGAATCACACCTCCAAGCTCCATTTTTCATTCTTTTGCTAAATCAAATTTCTTACACACTGACTCTGTTTGAAGCTTTCCAAGGTGGTTAGCAGCGGTCTGCAATCTCAGTGAACAGTGATGACAAGTGTCTAGCCTGGCATGATGGTTGGGTTTTCTTGAAAACCAGCTCCAGGGTCAGTGCCCTGCGGAGGATCCAGGCTGCTGGGGAAAGGGAGGAGTCCTGGCCCTTTGATAAGGACTGCTCTTCGTCACTGGTGTGACTAATTGGACTTGATGCAGTGATTTCATTACCACACCTGGCAGCTAGCACAGGCCACAGCCTCCCTTTCCCACTCCACCAGACAAAGGCTGCTCTGCACTCTGGGATGACATTATTTTTATCTTCTCCTGGGTTTAACTGGAGGTGCTGCCTTCCTTCGCCCCTGGAGTATGGTCTCCAATTTCTGACATTGAAAAGAATCCCAATTTATACCAAATTCCTGTGACCTTCTTCTAGGCTATTGTGCACATTGATTGGGAGGAAAAAAAAAAATTACATGACCCCAGGAAGTCAGTAATGCCTTCGAAGGGGATTTGTGATGTGTGCTGTCACCCAGGTCAAGCAGCAGGGGCCGTGCTAGTGTGTTCATGATGGCTGGAAGCCACAGGACTTGGTTGCATTTCCAGTTAACCTCTGGGTCCACCATACTTGAACATCTTGCAGAGACATCGACTTGCTTGTGACGTTGCTGAGGCCCAATGTCCTGGTGGAGTGCTCCTGCCCCTGGTGGCCTTTCCATGGGGCTCCATCAAAAGGAAGTAGCCAAGGAGGGTGGCCTTGCTTATGGCCAGTGTGGGGGGTGGGACCTGGCAGGCAGTATCTTCTTGGCGCTTCCTTGGAACCCTCTGCTCACAAAGCTCCAGAGATGCTCTTGGGTGTGGCTGGCCCAGTGGCATCCATGCCATTTCCTCTGCTCCCTACCTCCAATCCAAACACATGGGCTTAGCCAGGGAATTAGGGCTAAGGGGAGGGAGATGGCAGATGAGGGGAGCAAGTGTGCTGGCTGCGAGGCCTTGAGCCATTCCTTATCTATCAGATCCTAATCTCAACCCAGCCTGCTAAAGTGCAGGTGAATTGTGTTCTAGCCTTAGGTAAGGCCTTAGCCTTCAGGCCTCGTTTCAGCTGTACCAGCCGCCTTGAGTCTCTCCCCAGCTCCTTCCCACACATCCCCAGGGGGTGGCCAGGAAAGTAAAGACTGAGTCAGACAAGATTGGTTGTCTGGTCTTCTCTTCCAGACTCCCAGTGTCTGTTCCATGGGTTCCCCAGTCCCTTCCAGCTTTGGGTCTGTGCTGTGGGTAGGGAAGGGGTTGAATATGTGGGATCCCTTTCTCATAAGTGGGATTTATTCTAGGGTTTTGATTAGTCCAATGGGTGACTTACTTTCCTGGGACCTGGAAAGGTGAAAGGTTGGGTTAGATTGCCTCAGGTGACAGGAGGTGGGCTCCGGGCTGAGCCTGCCTGTCCCTGACCGTTAGTGAGTAGTGACCAGGAAGTCTCAGAAGGACCCAAATCCAAGGTGATGCTGACAGCGCCCTTTAAGGCCTTGTGGGCAGAGGGCTCCGGCCGGCAGTATAGCGGGCTTACCCAAAGAATGTGGAAGTCAGGCCCTAAACTCCAGTCAGCTGGCCCCTTGAGAATCTCAGTTCAAAATCAGTTTCTGCTAATTGCTGAGATATCACACAAGATCCCAGCTTGGGAGTGGGAGGGGATTGGGGGGAGACTTGGCGGACAGAGGACAGAGAGTAGAGACTGGAGGCCCCTAGGATGGGATTGGCTCCCGGAGGCTAGAGGGCTGGTTTGCCTGTTTCAGTGTGGAAAGCGTTTGCTTAAGAGCTTGTTGTGTAAACAAGATCACAGAGGGATAAGCCCTGCGGGAGCTAAGGGAACAAATTGTTTCTAGGGCCCGAATCTTATCTAACCACGAGAGAAGGCCTGCTCTTGGGAAACTGAACCTGTCTGGGCCTCTCTGTGCAGGTGAGAGGCCAGCCTCCCTGGGTCCCAGTGTGAGTCTTTTCTGCCTTGGCTGTTGAACAGGGCCTGGATCCCATGATGTTGGTTTCTGTTGCAAGCTTCTCGCTCTCTCGTGGGACTCAGGTTCAGAGGAGTGAAGCCCTGATCCTCTGCCCCATCTCCAGCTTTTGGAGGCCATGGACAGGGGAGAGTGGAACAGAAGCCTTGGGAAAGCTGTGGTCTTGGTGGCTGAGCCCGCCTGGTGGGCGGTATTCTCAATTGCTAAAGGGGGAAGTCATGGGAGAGTCTAGGGCCAGTTGCAAAAGCTGTATGAAGGTAACACGGGCATTTGAAGCCCCATCTGGGATGGGAAGACAGGATGTGGCCTGAGAGGGGATAAGGGGAGAGACTCTGACCTGTTCCTGGTGGATGGGCCCCTGTGCGTTTTGTACAGTTCTGCTTTGTACTTTGCAAGGAAGTTTGGTGTGAATTCTCTTGTGTCTCAATGATCTGGGTTACTGAATGTGGAACATCTTCCTGGTGCAGCTCTGTCTCAGGATTGCCACGGATGCCCCTGAGCCCCAGGTCCCTGTGGGACATCCCTCTGTCCCTACCCCTCTACTGTTCTGACAAGTGTTCAGGGTGAGCTGACTCCCTCTTATCCACTCTTCATAGGAAAGCCCATCCACTTGCTCCTTGCCCTTTATCCACACAGGCCTGTTGACATTGGAGGCAGCTGCGGGCCCCAGAACCCTTCATTCCTCTGTTCGGTGGCTCATGCCCTGGTTAGAACAACAGCCACTGCTGGTGGGCGCTGCGTGGGCCAGGCTGTGAAGTGTTTTAATTTGCATATCATCAACTTGCTGCAACCGATGTTAGCATTTGCCCCGATTTTTAGCCAACCAAGTTGCTTGTACTCATGTCTGATTTTTGAACAGGACCATCTAGCTACTCAACCAGCCACCTGGCTGTGAGGTCCTCCTTTTGTTACCTGGTATCTTGGAGCCAGTGCTGCCGGGGACCACAAATGTGGTTTGGTGTGCTGCCTCCCTCCAGTCCCCCCTCCCAACCCTGCACGTTTGCATCCTGACACCTAGCCCTCCAGCCTGTGGCCCTGGTGCCATGGTCAGGTACCCAGCTTCCTCAGGCCCAGGCTGCCTTGGGGTTATCCCTGGGGATTCTTTATTTCTTTATTTTTATTAAGATTGATCATGAGGCTTGAACTCAGGGCCTCGGCACTGTCCCTGAACTTTGTTACTCAAGGCTAGTACTCTACCACTTTTTTAAGTGGTTAATTGGAAATAAGAGTCTCACAGACTTTCCTCTCGGGGCTGGCTTTGAACTGTGATCATCAGATCTCAGCCTCCTGAGTAGTTAGGATTACAGGCATGAGCCACCAGTGCCCAGCCTCTGGGGATTCTTGAAAGCTCCCTGGTTGATGAGGCCCCTCCCTGCCATGGGGACTCCAGCCTGCACTCCCAGAAAGCTGTTTGTCTGCTCTCTAAGTGGTTGGGGCTCCCTGACCAGACTGAGTGTGCTAGGGTAAGGACTTGCTCCCCTCCCCAGTATGGGGCCTTGTGGTTGCATTCAGAGGTTTGGGGAGGCCCATGGTGCATACAGAGATGGTCATAGAGCCATGCACGAAGGCTTTCTCTGGGCCAGCACGGTGAAGGGGAGACCCAGGGCTCTGGCCGAGCCACTACTCATAGTCTTTTCTGATCTTTTTCTAGCTGACTGTGGCCACTAATGTGCCTCCTGAAGATCAGGACAGCTCTGGAGATGACTCTGACAACTTCTCCGGCTCGGGCGCAGGTGAGGCTGAGTCCTGACCGCCCAGTGTTTCCTGTCCTGCCTAGCCCCATCCAGCTGGGCCGGGAAGGTGGTTGTACAAAGGAAAAGAACAGGGTCTTGGACTGCAAAGAGCTACCTGCATAGGGAGACGACCTCTAGGGATCTGAAGAGAAGGCTCTGGGCTCAGAGACCTTGTGCTGCCTGCTGCACACTGGCCCATTCTCCTTGTCACTCATCAAAGCCTTTGGAAGACTGTTTGGCTCCTCTGAACCTCAGTGTTTCCTATCTGCAAAGTGGGAAAAATGAGTCAGCTGCCAGTGGCGCACGCCTGTAACCCTAGCTGCTCAGGAGGCTGAGATCTGAGGATCACAGTTCAAAGCCAGCCCGGATAGGAAAGTCTGTGAGGCTCTTATCTCTCCAATTGACCAGCAAAAAGCCAGAAGTGGAGCAGCGATTCAAGTGGGGGGGCATTCATCTTGAGAGAACAAGTTAAGAGAGAGCACAAGGCCCTGAGTTTAAGCCCCAGTACCAAGAAAAGTGGAGGGAGGTATATTTTTACCATAAAGTTATTGAGAGCCATAGGCATTTTTTCCCCTTCTTCCCTAGTTCCCTTTTCCCTGAGGGAGAGAGGTCCCCGAGCTGGGAGGCCTCCCAGAGGAGACTGTGTTTTATGGAACAAAGGAATAAGGCCAGTAGTCAGAAGGGATATCAGAGCAGAGGCCTGAGAGCTGGGAGATGCGTGCAGGCTTCTGGGCCCTTCTGACGCAAGGGCAGGGAGTTGCTGGGAAGCTGTGTGCACCGCAGGTCTCTGATGGTCCCCTGCTCTGCTCCATGGTTGGGATCTTTATTGAGGTTTCGGAGACCAGGCTACCCAGGCAGGAGTGCAAGGAAGAGCAGCTTCTTGTCCGTGTGTGGAGTTGAGTGTAGCCCCACTTCTGTCTTTTGGGGGTGGTTAATTGGAGATGAGTCTCATACACCTCTCTGTATGTCACTCTTGCAATTTAAAAAAAAATGAAAAAATTTTCAAGTCTTACAGATATTCCTGCCCAGACCTAGCTTTGAACCATGATTCTCAGATCTTGCCCTCCTGAGTAGATAGGATTACAGGCCTGATCCACTGGTGCCTGGCCAAGACAACTTCTGGAGAAAGAGCAAGGGTCTGTCCTAGCTAGCAAGGAGTCAGACTGAGTCCTGGCTTCAGGCTCTACCTCCTCACAGCCTGAACTTGGACTTGACTTAGTGCTCTACCACCCCAACATGCTTTGCTTCTGATTCTGCAGGTGCCTTGCAAGATCTCACCTTGTCCCGCCCATCTTCCTCTACCTGGAAGGATGTGTGGCTTCTCACAGTCACACCCACGTCTCCAGAGCCCATAAGCAGGGGTGCCACAGCTCCCTCAACCTCCATGGTGCCGGCCATCGAGAGGCCTGAGGAGGGAGAGGCAGTGGTACTTAGCAAAGTGGACTCTGACTTTACTGTCGGGGAGAAGGTGGTCACCACTGAGCCCAGGGAGACCACACAGCTCCTGACCACCCATCGAGCCTCAACAGCCAAAGCCACCACAGCCCAGGCCTCCGCCACCTCCCCTCCCCACAGAGACGTGCAGCCTGACCACCATGGGACCTCAGCACCTGTAGCACCTGAGGAAGTTGACCTTCCCAAAGTGGAGGAGGGAGGTCCTTCTGCTACTGAGAAGGTGGTTGAGGATGGAGCCACCAATCAGCTCCCAGCGGGAGAGGGCTCTGGGGAGCAGGTGAGCAGCCTCTGTGTTTGCTGGGACATTGGGTGGCCCCGAATACCTGGCACTCCACAAGCTTACAGCACACAGGGTGCTCCTCAATGTGAAGATGGGGTTATAGGGTTCCACTTTCCCCTGGGCCCTAAGGCCTCCATTGGGGCAGAACAGATTAATGACAAGGTCAGAATGAGTCTTTCAAGGTCCGGGGCCTGGGTAAAAGTTCTATCAAGTTTTATTTCTTACCATAGAGCATCATGGGACCTGGACACTTTGTATTGAACACCAGCCCCTTTATTTTCATAGAAAAAAAATGCTTTGTGACATTGAGGTGACATCTGTGGCGTGGCCAGCCGGGGATCCAGTGTGGACACACATGTGGGGTGCTGGGCTGTGGGGTCTTGGAGGTGTCTGGGGACATATCTGAATGGCTGGCGGCGGTGCCCAGACAGGCAGGGCTGGCTGCTCTGGGTGTGAAACAGCTGGATGCCCCAGCGGTCAGGGCCCTGAGCCATGCCCATGTACCCCGCAGGACTTTACCTTTGATACATCTGGGGAGAACACAGCCGTGGTCGCCATGGAGCCTGGCCTTCGGAATCAGCCTCCCGTGGAAGATGGGGCCACGGGCACCTCACAGGGTCTTCTGGACAGAAAGGAAGTGCTGGGAGGTAAGTCTTCTCCTGGGTTGGAGGCTGGGGGGGGGGGGGGGAAGAAGGGAGGAGTCAGGCTGCAGCTCTGGGTGGGGAGGAGACTGACCACACTCCATTCCACTGTCCAGCTGGGGAGCATCTGCTGCTGAGCCCAGCGCACTACTAAGCTAAGCTGGGTTCTATCCACTCACCCTAGGGGTCATTGCTGGCGGCCTCGTGGGGCTCATCTTTGCCATATGCCTGGTGGGCTTCATGCTGTACCGGATGAAGAAGAAGGACGAGGGCAGTTACTCCTTGGAGGAGCCCAAGCAAGCCAATGGCGGCGCCTACCAGAAACCTACCAAGCAGGAGGAATTCTATGCCTGATAAGAGACGGCTCTCCCCCCGGGGCCCCCCCGCCACTCACTAGGCTCCCACTCGGCTCTCTGTGAAGAACTGTAGGCCCTGGCCTCCCCACCACCCGTGCCACCTCCCCAGCCCTCTGACCCCTCCAGCCACCCATGCGGTTTCCTAGGGTGTGCTGGGGCGCCCACTCCGCTTCTCCATCTTCTGCCTCGAGGCTTGGGTGCAAAGGGTTTCTCGCATCTGACCTTCCCACCACAGCCACACACAGAGTCCCACCATTCCAACCCAGTTTCTCCAAAAGAGCGACCCCTCCCAGACCTCGCTCTGGTGAGAAAGAGGACCCGACTGCTTTGGACCTTCATGGCCTGCTGTGTGGCTGGGGCATTCTGGGGCCCAGGGAGGCTTGGCTGAGAGACACCATAGCACTTACTGTAGAGACTGGCTGTGGGTGTGGCCGGGTGGTTGTGAGTGGGCATCCAGGGCCCCTCAGAATTCACTTTGTGTTGTGGGGAGGTCTGCTTTAGATACCAACTTGTTTTTGCACATGTTTTCCTTTAGTCTCTCTGTTCCTAGCCCCAGTAGACTTCATTACTTCCGGGGTAAGTTAAGTCAGTTGATTGGTGTCCCCCATCTTGCTTCCTTAATCTACATTTGGGAGACAGCATCAGGGTTAAGAAGACTTTGTTGGTTTTTATTTTTTTTTGTTTGTTGTTGTTTGTCTGTGTGTTTGTTTAATTTTTTTATTTTATTTTTATTAACTAGAAGAACCAAATCTGGAAGCCAAAACACGTAGCTTTAGCATGTGTGTTGTCTCTTGAGCTTATCACTCATGTATGCAACAGGGTATGGACAAAAATGTTTGGTGGCCCCATTTTTGGTGGTCCCTTGGTAGGGTGGCCAGTCCAGGCTGCCCTGGGGTGGCCATCTCTTCTGCGCAGTCAGATCTGTGTCCATGAACTCAGGGCCATGGCCGTGGCCTGGGCTGCTGTGAGATGTGGGAGCTGCCGATGTGAGAATTGAATCCTGGCACTCAGGCTGGAGATGGAGGAGATAGGACCGTGGGGTGGGTGGCAGGTTGGCCAGGGACCCAGAGACTCTCTTGCCTTTGGCACCATCTCTGGGGATGTCTCCCCTCCCCCTCCCGGAAGTAGACAAGAGGCATTTGGGGCATAATTGGCACTGGCTCCTCCCATCAAGAACCAAGTTCTCCGTTCCTCCATTCATTTGCTCCTGCAGCCCCACCCTGGGCTGGAGTCAGGAATGTTTCCCAAAGAGCGATCGTCTTTTGCTTTTGGCAAAACTCTACTTAATCCAATGGGTTTTTCCCTGTACAGTAGATTTTCCAAATGTAATAAACTTTAATATAAAGGAGTCATGTGAACTCCACTGCCTGCGCTTCTTCTCTGAGCTGGTTGCGTGGACGTGCTTAGTCCTTTCCCAAACACTGGCAGCTTGGGGAAGCTTAGCCAGAGGCTCACTGCTTTCATCTCTTCCGAGGGGAGAGATTCTTGGGTTCAGAGTCCAGATTTGTTTTGTTTTGGCTAAGCCTCTGGAGGTCGGGAGGTTCAGCCAAGGTTTTATAGGGCCTGGTGTGAATCCTTCTCCGTGGCCTCAAGCGGGGACTCCTGCACACGTTGACCTGAGGCCAGAGCCCTCGCCTTGCAGACACCTCAGACAGCCCTCCTCCCACACCTTTCTGGGCACAATGGCCCAGGCTGGGGCTCTGGGAACTGCCACCCTTGCTTATTTAACTTGACAATGTTGCAGCTGCTGTTGTTGGCCACTCCCCGAGAGGTAGGCTGGCTCCTCCCCCGGCTCAGAGAGATGTGCAGCCATAGGAGAAGAACCAGCTTCCAGTGCTGGATTCTGGGACTCTCGCTGAAGTGGATGGCTGGGTGTGAAGTGGGAGTAGGGAGTGGGGGAGGGACAGCACTCAGCTGTGGGTTTGTGGGATGGTGCCCCAGACTCTGACTGGGCCCTGTCTTGTAACTGAAATAAATGGTACTTGTCCTGTCGGACAGCACACTGTGGTACTCTCTTCTTGGCTGCCCTGTGCCCTTTCCCGTCTCCTTTCTGGAGTGAAAGCGTGACTCTGGGATGGGCTTTGGCTTGCCACAGAGAATGTCCCTGCTATGGGAAGGCTGGACCCATTTCCGACCTCCTCCATACTGAAGACTGACCCTGACTAGAGGATTCCTTCTTCAGGGATATGTGGGACTCTTGCCTGGCTCCACGTTTGCTACTGTTCTGTTTGCTCATTGTGCAATCCCAGAATATTCTTGTTAGTCAACAGTCTCACATACCAAAGGCCTACAAATATTGTCCCAACACTGGGGAAAAAGTAGTTGAAAGTGGCCACTGGTAGCTCATACCAGTCTCTAATCTAGCTACTCAGGAGGCTGAGAGCTGAAGATCACAATTTAAAGCCAGCCCGGGTAGGAAAAATCTGGCTTTTATCTCCAATTAACCACACAAAGCCCAAAGTGGAGCTGTGACTCAAGTTTTGGGAACAAAAGCTCAGGGGTAGTACTCAGGCCCTGAGTTCAAGGCTCAGAACCTACACAAATACAGAGAGAGAGATTTGGGGGTTGTGAATGCAGTCCTGTATTGTTATATCCAGCTGGCTTCCCACAGAGTTGCTCAGGCAGCTGGCCCATTCTGGCACTGAGTGCAGGCCAGCCCGCGGTCCTAACCCCAGGTCCCGGCATGTCCTGGGCGGTGTAGGAGGAATCATTGGACAGGAACAGCCTGACCCCAGGGTGCTCACTAGGGTAACACTACCCCACATTGCACTCCAAAGGGTTTGGAGGTGGAGAGAGGAAAGTCCTTAAGGTCATTGATTCACTCAACAAGCACTGAAAACAGTGTGTATTCTTTGCTAGTCCCTGGATGAATAGTGAAGACACCGTTGTAAAATTGGTCAACCAGGTATTTATGGATTTTATTAATAATGTCCCTTCCACATAGGATCAGCAAGTTTCTGGAACTCCAGCCCTTCTGGGAACCTCCCTGGCACCTCTGTCCCACTCTTCCTTCCCTTGGTCCTCTTGCTCTGGGCTACTCCCATCCCAAACCCCTTAGGGCACAGGGATGATGTGCCCCAAAACAGACTTGGCTGATTGAGACTAACAGAAGCTAACGTGGAGATGTTGGAACTTACAAAGCTCCGCAGGCAAACCTGCCTCATGTCTCCTCAGTCTGCTGCCAGGGTGTCTCAACCCCTGTTCTCATCTCTCCCCCACTTTCTCTGCCAGTCCCCGCTCCCTTCGGAAGGGAGCCATTGCTGGAGCACCACTGGTGTCTCCCCTCCCCTGCAATCTCCTACAGCAGGCAGGGGTGGAGCGGGGAGAGTACTGAGTTTCAAGAGTTCTTTCAAGAGATTTGCTAAGACTAATGAACCATCTTAGGCTCGATTGTGTCACAGCCTTAAGTTGCAGCTGGTTTGGGTTTAAGTTGCAGTTTTGGCCTTGCTGGCTCTGGAATCAGGATCCTGGACCCCTCTGCTCCCTGCCCTTCGGGACAGTGACCGTTTCCTGGGGGGAGATGGGGGGCGAGGGGCCTCTCACCCAGCTCAGCGTCTGGAAGGGGAGAGTACAGTTGACCTTCCCAGTGTGTGTGTGTGGGGGGGGGAGGGGGGAGACGGACTGCTGGCCGGGCTGCTGCTGGCCAAAGCAGGGCTCCAGAGACGCTTGCTGGCGTGAAGAGCGAGCAGGTGTGGAAGGAAGGGGCTGCAGGGCGGAGACCCAGGGACCGGGGTGCCTGGAGGGCCCAGGCGGGCGGGGAGGGGTGAGGTGCCTCCCCGCTCCCCCGCTGCCCCACGGGAGACTCCGCGCTGCCCATGGGGACGAATTCCGGGCCAGCGAACAGGCTGGAGGCTCAGGGACCAGGAGGGACGGGCAGTGGCCGCCGCACACCCCGAGGCGGGTGGGGGCCCCAAAGCAGGCCCTGGAGGGAAAGGCCCGGGAGCACTGTGTGCGATGCCCGGATTGCCACCCTCACCCCGGCTGCCCCCCAGCCCAGTCCCCTCAAGGCCAGGGTCCCCCCCCGCCCCCCCCACGCCGGTCCCCAGCTTCGCAGAAGAGGGGGCTGGGCTGTCTTGGGGCACCTGAGCTCCCGGCCCGGGGGTGCCCACTGAGAGGCCCTGGAGGGTTCCTGGCACAGGAAAAGCCACGTGGCTCGCTCCCTCCCCCCCAACGGCGCAGCCCCGCTGTGCGCATGCTCAGGTCAGGGGTCAAGGGGGGGGTTCCACCCTCACCTGATCACCTACAAGGAGGGAGAGGCTCTGAGTCCTCCCAGTCCCACAACTTCCGGTCACTTCTCCCCGCCCCCCTGCCCCACAACTTCCGGTCACAACTATCCCCACACCCCCCCCCCCCCCACCATCTTACTGCAGCCAAGTATCCCCAGGCCTCTTGCTCCCCTCTGTGCTCCTGGAGAACAGACCCGTTAAGAGGGGGTTCATTGAGGCTGGCTGGGCTGCTATCCTTGCCTGGGAGCCCCAAAGTCCTCAGAAGGAATGAAAAATAGAGGCCACCCATAGGGTGCTGGAGGAGAGTGCCCATCTATGGGGCATGGCAGTAAGTCCTGAAACCAAACACCCCTTGGGGACCGTGCAGCCGCTGCCACTGCTGCTGGAAGGTGTGTGGGAGACGGCTCAATGAGCTTCAGCCATCAGGGTGCAGAAGTAAAAAAGGAAAGATCTGCAGGAGAATGGGTAGGTAAACTGTGGCAGGGTGCATACCATGGAATACTACTCAGCAATCAAAAAGAACAAAATGCTGAGACATAGATAACATACATATATAAAACACTGAGACATACAACATAGATAAGCCGCCCAGACAACATAGCCAATTCAAGAAGCCAGACAGAAAAGAGTGATGCTCTCTGAGTCCCACCTCTATAAAACTCAGAAGGCAGGACTGATGGATAATAACAGAGTCCAGTGGCCACCACTGGGTCCTAGGAGTGGTGTTGAGACGGGAACTCAGAAGAACTTTTTAGGGTGCTGGAAGTAATCTCTGGCTTGATATGAGTGAGTTGCAAGAGTGAACATATATGTAAAAAAACCATCAAGCTGTATGCTTAGATGAGTGTACTCTGAATGTTATTTCTCAGCAATAGGAAACTTAAACGGAAAAAAAATAAGCAGCTTATAAAAGGGTTTCTGAGCTTCTAATTAGTTCCTTTAAACCTCACTTGTAGCTTTTTCAGCAGGAATGAGGGAGGCCCACATGGCCTAGGTTTTCTTCTGATTCCCAGTGGATTCTAATTTATGGGTAAGAGAGGCCCAGGGCAAATCTCTCCCAGCTGCACATGGAGAACCAGCTGCTTGTCTGGGCCTGATGGAGGCGGAGCCAAGCCCCTCCCCAGACAGCCAGGGCGGTGGGCACCACCAGGGCAGCTCCCCTCCCCGACAGCCAGGCCCCATTTTCTGTCTGGTTCCTGGAACCTGTGCTACCCAGCTGCCCTTTCCAGCACTTAAGGCAGAGAGCTAAGTTGTTCCTCCACTCCAGGAAAATATTTGTTCAGAGACTTGGCATCTGCAGAAGAGGAAATAAAAGCCACCTTGGAGTCGAGCAGGCGGCCCGGCTGCCGGCTGCTTTGTCTGTCCCTCCAGACTGCCCCAGCTTGGCCAGCGCCACCCCACAAACAGGGCCTGCGCTGGGGTTAAGGCTGTGGGTCCTCAGTCCTTGGCCTCTTCAGCCAGTGAATGTTGACAAAACTCTGCAGGCCAAAAGGAGGGCTCTGCACACTGTGACCCTGGGCCTGTCCCTACTTATCTGGTGGTTGAGCCTGCCAAGGAGGCCAATCAGTGGAAAGCTGCGCTGGTGTGCAGAGGGTGAAGTGAACTTCAGGGGTTGCAGCTTCTAGGAGTAAGTAGCAATTCCAGCTGCAGGGAGAGGAAGGTAAAAGGTCGTGTGTGTGTGTGTGTGTGTGTGTGTGTGTGTGTGTGTGTGTGTGTGTCCTAGGTCTTGAACTTAGGACTTGGGCATTGTTCTTAGCTTTTTTGATCAGGACTGGGGGGCTCTATCACTTGAGCCACAGCTCTGCTCTAGCTTTTTTGTTGTTGTTCCTGATTAATTGGAGATAAGAGTCTCAGGGACTGTGCTGCCCTGGCTGGCTTTGAACTTCAGTCCTTAAGAGCTCCCCTTCCTCAGTAGCTAGGATTACAGGCGTGAGCCACTGGGCTGGCAGGAGGGTAAAGCTAAGAAGCTATTTGGGTGGAGCTGCGGGAGTGCTCCTAGCTGATGGAACAGCTTGGGCTGTAATAGCACCCAAGGACTATGGGGCATAGAAAGTTATTGGGGTCAGCTGTGGCTGGGACCAGGCGTCTAGAGAGGACATTGGAGGGAACGCGGCTTTAGTGCCTGGAATCCC